GCGAACGATTTCCAACCTGAAGGTGAGTGAGCGTAGCGAACGAACTTCAACCAGGACGTGATTGAGCCATGCAAATACTTATGAAGTTAAGCGGGGCAAAGCCCGCGGGTACAGCTAGTAGCCTATATAGATAAAAATATCAATTTGATAATACCTAGTTATTTAAAACTGCTGATTCATGTGATTGTATCAATTTCCCTGTCTCAAGATAAATAGTGTTTGTTATAACCTAATTTATATCACATAAAATTTGTAAAATACTGTACCTATTCGAAATACCTACTGCAAGTTTCAAAATCAATCAGGTGTAATACTTTCTCTGTATAATTTGATCAGTGGTCATCATCCGAATGTTTATCCTTTGTACTGTGTTTAGGACGTACCTATATTGTCTTGATTGTAAACATATGCTATGGTTTTTTGTTGTTTACATTTGCGTTGTTATTTTGTGACCATCATGACAACCTATAAGGCCAATGTTTAAATTTAAAAACTTTGATATACTTTTAAATTATATAGGCATTATCAAAAATTGAAATTGTTTTGTCTTAAACCTTACAAACATTTGTCAAAACAACGTTGGTAAGATTGGCTAAAATATGTTCAGCCGTTATTGAGTGATAGTACTAGAAAGTTTGCATTGAAGCTGATCCCAAAGAGCCTCGCTTCGCTCCGCTCAACAAGGAACCACCGAAACATATGTAACAAGTTTTAAACGTCACTACAGTACACGTTAAGGTTTGTCTGACGACAAGTTCCGTTTAGTCATAGTCATAGTCAAGAATCTTTATTCATAGTATACATAGTTGTACATGAATAGTGTCAAATAAGTTAAAACTAATGCTTAAAACTATGATAACGCCATTTTCAATTTGTCTAAAGAGTACAAGGACAGGTCCATTAAATATTCCTTGAGAAGTTTTTTAAAAATGTTGGGTTTTTGTTCTGTTTTAATTTTCAAAGGAATAAATTTAAAAAATTCATGTCCTGCATTGACAGTCTTTTTTTTTGAAGAGCTCTAATTTGTGTTTTCCAATTACAAATTTATTTTTGTTACGTGTATTGTAGTTATGATTATTTTCTTTAATTGGTGGATTAAAATTTATGTTTTTGACAAACATAATACATCCAAGAACATACAAACCATAAACAGTGAGGATCCTTAAACGTTTAAAGTGTTCTTTTGCAGAATCATCTTTGTTCATTTTTAACATAGCTATGATTGATTGCTTCTGTATTGTCAAAATTTGGTCTAGATTCGAATTTGAGGTGGCTCCATATACACATATGCCATAAGATATATGGGATTGAATATGGGAAAAATAAATCATTTTTAAAACTTCAATACTGCATAGTTTTGACATTTTTCTAATCACACAAAGACCGGAATTTATTTTATTGATAACAAGTTTACAATGTTTGTCCCAAGACAAGTTGCTGTCCAATGTCAGGCCAAGGAACCTTACGGCTTCTGTTATTTCAATTGGTTGGTTATTTACTTCAATATTAGGATTGGAATTGTTTTTGTTTAGTTTTGAATGTGACACATTTGGTTTTACTTTCATTTAATTTTAAATTGTGATTATTAAAAAATTCCTCAATACAAGCTATTCCTATTGTGGATAGCAACTCAACATCTTCTGCAGTTTTCCCAGATACTTTAAGATTAGAGTCATCTGCATAAAGATACAAACCTGTACATGGGGCAAAATTTAGACACTTATTAAAATTTGTTAAGTAACAATTAACAAATGAAAAAGTAAAGGTCCCAGGACCGATCCTTGAGGTACACCAGATCTTATTGTGCCCATATTTGAACTGTAGTTTGATTTATAATTGTCTTTAGTGATGTGAGTTATTTCAACAAACTGTTGTCTATTTGGTAAGTATGATTTAAACCAATTAAGAGAGTTATACCTGATTCCAATTTTTTGTAATTTAAAAAGTAATAGTTCATGATTAACGCAATCAAACGCCTTCGATAAATCCATGAACACTCCCAACACGTGCTCACCCTTGTCAATTGACTCAATGACTGATTCGACAAAGCCAACAATCGCTGTAATAGTGGACTTATCTTTCCTAAATCCGTGTTTGATGTCTTCTAGGATTGAATTTTCTTCTAAGAACGCAGTTAATTGATTAGAAACAATTTTCTCGTAAATTTTAGATATTGGTGATAGCAAAGATATTGGTTGGTAATTACCAATATCTGTAGCCTCATTAGATTTAGGAATTGGTATTACTTTAGCAATTTTTAAATCGTCTGGAAAGATGCCACTAACAAAAGAGGAGTTGATTAAATGAGAGAGAATTTTACTTAGCTGCTTTCTTACAAATTTTATGACTGATATTGGACTCCTGTCATGGCTGGAGGATAGTTTGTTTTTAAAAGGATTTAAATTTTTTTCAATTTCATCTTTATTAGTGTCACAAAAATAGAATTGATTTTGAATATTGACACAGGTTGAGCCGGTCGGAGATAGTTGTTCACGGATATCTCTGGAATTCTGTTGGCTATAAGAAGGGGACACATTAATAGGCCTGTCCTTCACAACATTGATAAAATAAGAATTGAATAAATTACTAATTTCAAGAGGATCTGTAACTCTTTTGTTTCCATTTACTAAAGATATATTATTTGTGCAATTAACTGAACTTTTCCTGGTTTCTGTTTTTATAATATCCCAAGTAGTTTTAATTACATTTTTGGATTTCTTAATCTTGCTATCATAAAACTGTTTTTTTCCTTCAATCAGTTTTTTTTCTATAGATTTTATTTCTTAATCCACCTTATTTTGCCAAATTTAAGTCATTATTGAAACGGACGTGTTTATTTATTTGAATAATCTGTTTTTTCTCTTCCCTTAAACTATCATTTATCCAAGATTTTCTTGTAGTTCTTAATTTCATTGTTCTTTTTGGGAATGATAAGTCAAAGTAGTATAAGAGCAGTTTGAAAAAAACATCAAATTTTTTATCAACTGGAGAAAAAATAACTGTCTGCCAATTATCAGCTTCTAGGTATTTTTAAAACAATTCTTTATTTTCTTTACTAAATTGTCTCCTGTTGTCAATTATATAATCAGTATTACATTGTTTAGTTTGTGAATTTAAAATTTGGAGAATTTGACCGTCATGATCTGACAGTAATGTAATTACACCGCTTGCCTTAATTTAATCTTTTTTAAAGTTAGTAAGAAAGTTATCAGCTGAAGTTGATCCATTAAAAACTCGGGCTGGAAAATTTACGGCACAACTCATATCAAAACTCCTTAAAATGTTTTTCAACCTGCAAAGTGTGTTTTTTGCTCGATTTTTGTCGGTTTCCAGTACATCGATATTAATATCCCCTGCAACTATTAAATGTGTATTTTTCAAATTTTTGGAAACAAAAGAGTTGATAATACTCTCAAGCCTATCCAAAAACACATTGACATTGCTCTTTGGGGATCTGTATACACCTAACAAGACAAATTTAACCTTATCAATTACAAACATTGTAGCACAACACTCAAACTGCTTCTCTTCCAGAATACATTCCTGATTGGGAATAGCCACCCGTGACCAAATTAAGTGCTCTTTACTTAAAATTAAAACTCCTCCCCAATTAGAATTTGTACGGCAAAGATCATTTCCTGCAATTTTATTTTGTGTTCTGTTAAAACTATTATATCGGTGTTTATTTCATCAAGAACAATTTGTAAGGACTCTAATTTTGAGGCTAAGCCTTGGATATTTTGATGGAAAATTGTTGTACCTTTGAATTTTAAAGTTTTAGCTATGTGACCTGAGTTATCTTTGGAGAGCAGTTTAAAGAGGACACGGGTAGACTGATGCCATCATTACTACTGTGGGACTCACTAGAATGACCATTAGCACTTTCACTGGACACTACAGAAGCTGATGTTGGTGAAGCTGATGTAGGACTGCTCCCTCCCTCAATGGTGACTACAGTTGACTGGGTTGGAGTTGCCTGGGGGCTGGACAATTTCTCAGTTGTCGAGACCGGGGATGCAGCAGGTTGGGCTCTAACCACTGTGGTTGAGTCAGGTGGCTGTGTTTTTGAAGCAGGTAGATTATGACAAGTTGGTATTGTCAGGGACTCATCACCAATATTTTCTAGTGCCGCTATGCTCACTAGTTGTGTCTTCATGTGCAATAAATTTTTCATTTTGTGGAGAAATTCTGTATGAGACAAGCCGTTTCTCAATTCTCTGTGGGAGTCTTGATGATAGAATAGTAACATCTACCTCTGTTTCACGTTGAAAGTTGACAATGTTTGAAGTAAAATTTTCCAGTTTAATTTTATCTCGCACACATCCGATTGGTGAGCATATTAGATTGTGAAACCCTCTTCTTTTGAAGTAGTTTTTCAGTTGGTGAAAGGCCGTGTCATAGTCCCAGTTGTTAGGTTTATAGTGGTTAGCCAAAACTATATCATTATGCATCGGATGTGTGTTTGATAGGTCATGTCTGCGGGGTATAAAGGTTATTATAACTGGTTTAGTTAGACTTAATTTTTTTAATTTTTCTTCTAAGGAGGAAAATATCCCGGATAGATCATGCCGTAGTGTGTCATTTGTTCCTCCAATGATGGTAATGATTTCTTCTTTACAACGCAATGCAGTTTCAGCGACTTGTATAAGCCCAGCATTTGGCATTACTGATCCTACCACCCGAAATTTTTCAGCGTTACTTTGTTCAATCTTAGGACCAATATTTCTTCCTTGGCTATCTGAATACACAGATAAGTTTAGGCCTATCCATTATTAGTTAGTTATAAAACGCAATCCTGGGGCTATCAAAATGAACTATAAAAAAATACTGTTTGCATGTTTAAGTAAAATTTAAAATTGGAGTTGGAAATGAATATAACGATAAAGTAAACTTACTACGAGTTTCAAATAAAAAACTTTCTGGGTGTAAAGTATAACCTATTTTTTTATCTTCTCAACGACAACTCCTCTGTAAATAAGATAAACCAAAGACTTATTTACCCTCTGAATCCTCCGTATGAGACCTTCTAGGACACCAAACTGCACAAGCCTGCGCTCGTCTATGTGCAGCGCAGACGGGTCAAACCTGAGACACAAGTCTCGTACTGTTGTGCCGTGAGTCATCCCGGTATACATACGGAAAACATCACGTACACTAGGCATCTGACGACCTACGGACAATGTGAATATTTACACAAAATGAATAACATGGCATTTTAGTTATATCCATAATATTATAAACAGGAGGTGATTTCTGTGTGTTAGTAATGGATGAATGCAAAAAGTATCTAAATGACTGATGTGAAATTTTACATAAAGTTGGCCGACACAGTTCTATTTATGCCTTTGGGCAAATTCAACCATTAAAGATGGAACTTTTGGCAGTAACTGTTGATAAATATTTCTCACAAAAAAATGAAACTGCAATAATTTTATTTAGTTTATTTACATATTAATAAGTTTACTTATATGATTCTACCAGACGGCTTATGGAAATAAACCAAATAGAGTTTCATTAAACTAAGTGGTACAGTTACGTTTTGTTACTAACATCAGAAGTTATCAATAATCAATTAATCAATTAATTAAGATGGGGACGCCACTATGTGAGTATTTTAACCCAAATATGAGTGAAGGATGAATGTAGGATGAGTGGCGCGATCTTGTAGTCTTGTTAGTGACTAAGGCCGACATGTTCCTCAGAAACAGCTTGTTAATTAATAGCCCATACAGCTAATGGTAACTAAGGGACCTACAGTTTATAGTGGAATCCGAACCACATTTTTTCCTTGTAATTTATGAATTGGTCTAATTATCAGGATAGTACTGCGGATAGTCGTAGTACTCACTAGTGCGGACGTTAATCCACACCAGGGAGCATCGCATCCACAGTGCATCCCTATAAATATCCACAATTCGTGACCTCCTAGTAGCTGGATTACAGGACGACGCCACCCATCCCAGTGTGAAACCCTTGTGTGCTATCGACCTATTAAAATGCACACGCATAGGGGAATTTGCAAATGTAAATATTCTTCTGTTCTTTCATTGAAAACTACTAAAACATTTTAGAATATTGTTAGATGGTTGTGTACTTAAAGAATTTTAGTAATTATTTTCTACATAACTAGATCCATTTTTACATACAATTGTAGGCTATGTACAAGGCTACTGAAAAAGAGGTTGCCCCAGTCACGCGTATGACGTCACCCACCGTTTGTGTTTAGGTAATTTAAGAACTGATTACATGTAGTTTTATTCCCTTTGAAAAGACAAATTACGTCATCTACGTACCTATACCAATATATAATCTCATTTTTGTGTGGATTGCAGTCGTTTAAGATTGTTGTATCTTCCATGTTGTTTAAATATATATTAGCTAGTAGACCAGATAGTGGCGATTCCATGGCTAGTCCATCAACTTGTCGGTAATATTTGGATTCATATTTAAAGTAGTTTTGGTCTGTGACGGTTTTTGTTAGTTTGATTATGTCGTCAATTTTAAATTTTGTTAGCAAATCATTTTGTGATAAATTATTTTCAAGGATATTTAAAGTTTCTTTTATTGGGATGTTTGTATACATGTTTGTTACGTCAAATGAGATGAAAATCGCCTCCTCTGGAATTTCAATATCTAAAATTTTTGTTACTAAATCTAATGAATTTTTCAGAAATCTGTACTGTTTGATATGGTTTCGTTAATTGTCTTGTTTAAGTACTGGCACGTTTTGTACGCTGGAGCATTCTGATAATTTACAATTGTTCTGATTGGAATATTTGGTTTGTGTAATTTTGGTTGTCCTCTTAAAACTGGTGCTATGGGATTTATGGTTTTCAAGTTTTGTTTTTCATTTGTAGTTAGTGTTTTGCATTTTGTTATTATGTTGTTCATACTTCTATTGTATTCTGGAGTAGGATCTTTAGCAATTTCTTGAAATGTATTTGATTTTATGAAATCCGTTCCTTTTTTGTTATAATCTTCTTGTTTCATAACAACTATATATATATATTTATAGTTTTGTTCCCTTTTTAGGGTTATTTTTTCAATAAATAAGTGAAATAATAAAGATCAGAGTACCCTGAAATTCATTTTTATTTAACTTAAAAATATTTTTGCACTAAGGCCATGATCACAGTATTAGTTATAAAACTATATAAACTGTGCCATTCTCCGCCTCGAGTACTTTCAGACTCAATGGAAGATTTCAGAAATTATCGTTCTACCAAAACCTGGAAAACCCCTAAATGAAGTAACCTCGTACAGGCCCATCAGTCTCCTTCCAGTAACGTCTAAGGTATTCGAAAAACTACTTTAAAAAGACTAGGCCCACTGTTGGAAAGCAAGTCTGCACACATAACTTTCACCACCAGAACAGCTAACTGTCCCCCAGTCCACTTAAATAACATACTTCTGCCTTACCGCGACGAAGTAAAATATTTGGGCATACACCTCGACAGAAAACTTACTGGCAAAGCCATATTTGGAACAAACGGCTACACCTAAATTCAAAGTTTCGATAAATGGCCTGGCTCATGAATGAAAATTCAAAACTGTCAATTGAAAATAAATTATTGCTTTACAAGGTTGTCGTCAAACCAATTTGGACATATTTCATTTCTTTGTGGGGAACAGCTTCAAAATCAAACTTGGATATATTACAAAGATTTCAGTCAAAATTACTAAGAACCATGCTGAAAGCCCCTTGGTTTGTATCCAACGTCACCATTTACAATGATTGCAAAATTCCATTTGTTACTGAAGAAGTTACGAGCTGCAGTAAAAAATACATCTCCAAGCTTGAGTATCATCCGAACCATTTCGCCGTCAACCTCCTAGACAACAGTCAACATGTCTACAGACTAAAAAGAGAAAATGTTTTAGATCTTCTGACTTGATTTGTACAGCAGCTCTGAAATTTATTTTCTTTGTTTTTTTAGTGCTAAAGCTGTTTAGCTGCTAACTCATGTTTTCCAAATTTTATTTTATCTTTTATAAATGTGTTCATATTTACTTATTGTTTAATGTAAAACAGATTGTAAATAAAACTTTGACTTTGGTAAAAAAAACGATGCAAACAAACAAATAAATAAATAGTTAATAACATGTGTTTTGGATTCATAGTTAATCTATAAGTATAAAAGAGGATGTTTGTATATATATTTGTTTGTTTGTTTGTTTGGCAGTGATAAACTCAGACACCGCTGAACCGATTGCCACGAAACTTGGTACATACGTGTAGAATGTCATGGAATAGGTTTATACACCATCAATTTCGTGATCCGTCCAATCGGCTCCGCCCCAGTGGCTCTGCAGTTTCCCATGTTAACCTTATGAGAAATGGAATTAATGAATCTCAACAGCTGTTTCAATTAAACAAGTTGGTTCTGTTCTATGATGTTCAATAGCATTAAAGTTACAAGGATTACCAACAGGGTGCAGCACTATTATTTCTTTTACATTTATGACAACAGCTAATTTGCAACCAAAAGGTGAGTGAGCGTAGCGAACGAACTTCAACCTGGAGGCGAGTTAGCGTAGCGAACGAGCTAACCTGAAGGCAAGTGAGCGCAGCGAACGTGCTCCAACCTAAAGATGAGTGAGCGTAGCGAACGAGCTCCAACCTAAAGGGGAGTGAGAGTAGCGAACGAACTTCAACCAGGACGTGAATGAGCCATGCGAACGAGATCATCTTGAAAATTAAGAAGTTAAACGGGGCAAAGCCCGCGGGATTATAAATAGTCAAAGGCAAGACAACGTCTGCCAGGTTCAGCTAGTTTTGATTAAATGGTTTGGTGTATTTTTTTTAAACATGAGAATGAATAAGATTCTTCAATGATTTGTTTATAAATTGGATTTTGTTTCAGTTTTAGCATTAGCCTACATTGAGAATTTGGTCGCCGTGTTCTTTTGAGTGTAGATAGATTCACAGTTCTTCTTTTATATCCATTTCCCCCCTTTTTTCTCATAATTTAGAATTTTGACACATTCTTCTAATTTACCATAATTAAGATGTTTTCTAATATATGTTCTGCGTACATTGAACGTTAATTAATTAAAGTAGACTCAAGTATTATTGAAGAAAATAGCTTCTCATAGTGGCACGATCGTTGTTATGACTCTCGGTCTCGGCGGGATTGTCGGCATGACTCGGGGTCACTACGCGATCGTCGGTATGACTCGTGGTCACAGCGCAATCGTCGCTATGACTCGCGGTCACGGCACGATCGTCAGTACGACTCGCGGTCACGGCGCGGTCGTTGCTATGACTCGTGGTCACGGCGCGATCGTCGTTATGACTCGCGGTCTCAGCGGATCGTCGGTATGACTCCGCCGTCATGGTGTGATTATTGAAATGACTTCACCTCCTGCGTTCGCGGAACTATCATGAACATCTCACGCGACAGCGGCGTCATCGTCCCTCGCCAAGCGGCAAAATCGCCGAGGATCGTACAAATTATTTCCCGAAAAATTCCCGAATCGAATATAATCCCGTCCGGAAAATCGGAAATATTTTTTTCCCGAAAATTTCGGGACCCGTCCATCCCTATTTAAAATTTAGTACTAACCAAAAATATATATATATGAATTTGAACGGATGGTGTTTTTGGCCTCTAGGGACCTCAAAACAAAAAAGTAAATCGGTCTCGGGTCCAGGTCTTACCATGAGTACTATGGTAATAGCTTATTCCCTATATGGGAAATTCTCTAAAACAGGTAAAAACCCCGACCCGAAAGTTACCCGGACTCGAAGTGATCTTTTCATTTTCAGTACCCGACCCGAACCCGCCCTCCGAACCTAAAATTTCACTACCCGCAGACCCCTAATTCTTGCTTATTATTATTATTTTTGTATTTAACCAGTCATCTGTCATAGATCAGTAGCTATTCAACAATGTTACAAAATAAGGTTAAAATGCATTTCCCGTTATGTATGACAAGAAAAATCCTGTCTCGATCTTGTTTCAAAATTTTATTAAAAATAAAAATCCCGTCTCGTCTCGAACTAAAAATCCAATCTCGTTCATCCCTAATTTTAACTGAACAGGTTACCACTTAACTTATACAACTAGAAAATGATAGGGAAGAAATTAATTTTCTAAAAATATATATAGGCCTACCAGTTTTTGCGACGGTACGAAGGCACTCATCTTGCAGTCTCTTATCTATAGCAAGCCTACGCAGTTTGGGGGTCACTGTGTACATGTTGGAGTACTGGAATATTGGTACCATGCTTACCAGCCCGTAATATCTGGAAAAAAATCATAAACGAAACCTTTCTATTGGCTTTCTAATAGATTGATAAGTCTTTCTTATCCAGGGAATTAGAACAGGTTCTTATTCATATTCCTGTTCTTATTCTTAGAAAGGTCCAAAACACATGAGAATGAATTCTAACAGTCTCCCTATCAGAATCTTAAATAAGATAACTATACAAATAAAAATCTTTAACATTTTTAGCCTCTTGGATCACGTATTTTACTAATAAAAAGGTTAAATACCTGTAGTACTGTCAGTGATCCTGGATTTAGGTCAGCGACCCAGGTTTTGAACCTAAAGGTTCATTTTCAAGCTATTACCATCAGTTAAAACACATTCCAAACAAATCCTCTTCATAACTGGAAAGAGTCGTTAAACACACGAAATACGAACACGAAAACACTAAACATTAAACAAAATTGGCCAATTATAATACTGATACGGTACGTGGTGCAGCCGGCAAAAGATGAGTCATGACTGGGCAGGCGTGTGTGTCGATGTCGGAGCATGACGTATCTGCCCCCTCTCACTCCCGTCGTCTTTGTCAGTTCCTCGCCTTACATTGACATTGCAATCTATCATATCTATTGCAGTATTATAAATTAAATTTGATTCAAAGGATAATTTTTTGTTGAGCAAATGGGTAGGACTGTTTTTAGACGATCGGTATATTTAAAACTCTTCGATGGTGTTCATATGCTTGCCTTCTCTGCAGTAATGCAATATTTCCAGATTGGTATTAATGTCGGTGTAATTATGGTTTGTGTCTATCAGATGGTTTGCGACGGCAGATTTAGTTGATTTTTTAGGCAAACGAGTGAGCTGTTTGTCCAATGTAGTAGCTGGGACAGTCATTGAATTTAATTTCATAAATTCCTGTCTTATCAAAATTAGCAGTGTTTTGTACAATTTGTCGTTTTAGGAGATAAGACAATTTAATTGACGTTTTGAATGACATTTTAAAGTTGTTTTTAGTCATTTCGGATTTAAGGCTATTGTTCAATACTGTACCATACTCAGTGGAAACGTATTTCTGCTTCTCTTTTGACACCTTTGGCCTACTTTCATTTTTATGTTTGATTACTGTCTTGTCTATCATGGAGCTTATATATCCATTAGATACAGCTATGTGTTTTCTGATGTTAAGTTCCTCGTTATAACTGTCTTCATTAAGAGGTAGAGAAATAAGTCAATGAACAAAGCTATTGTATGCAGCCATTTTTTGAATGCACGCCCGCGGGCGCGGTGTGACTTGGCACATTTGATAACATGGTTTAAAAATTCGCTCCCGCCGCAGGAGAGAGCTCGGTGTGACTTGGCCTTTAAAGAAGTGTTTCGGGGATTGGATGAAGCGCTGTCGGATGAAGACCATTTTGAAGGTGACAACATCAATGTAGACAAATAAATAAATATTTTCTACAAAAAATGAAAATTTTTGTTACTTTTTTATAACACTCCTTGTATATCTGGACAACCAGATTAACTATATACCAAGCTTTTTTTTTAATAATAGTAGATATTATAATAGGAATTTGATAACTTTGGCAAATAACTCAGGCTCATACTAATTTTTAAGCACAACAATGTTATATCAAAAGTGGACCATTATATCTTGTCAACAACCAATAAAAACCAGCTTGTGCAGGGAGAAGTATCATAGGCGTCCAGTCTATCCATATGGGAAAGAGGGGGCTTGAGTCCCTCCTTTGAGAGCATACCAGGGTGACCATACAGACAACGTTCTGGGAAGTTTGCGTAAATTTATTGAATCAGGAAATATGCGGGGATTTTTTTGAACACCCACTGGGAAAATCTGTTTTAGTCTGCGGTCATGAAGAAATTGCAATCGTCATCACTGGACACGTTGAAATTGTAAACACCTTCCGAGGTCGAGACAAAATCAAGAACATCTCCTGCGGTCACGGCAAGATCGAGAACATCTGTGGTCACAGCAAATCTGGAAAAATTAGTGATTTTTGCTAGGCGTTCTGTCCTAATTTTTTTTCAGATTGTGGAGTAAAACACCAAAGTTAATCAATATTACACTATACCATTGGCCACAGTAGTAAGTATCAAAATTTAAAAACAATGCAACAAAAATTGACAAAGCAAATTTATGTTTAAAAAAGTGTAAAACCAAACATTTAAATCTAAATTTAAATCCTATTTATAAAGTAGGTACCTCTCACACCACAATTTTTTATGGGATTTATTCCCTACCCCCCCTGACGCGAAATTTGGATTGAGTATTTTTCTGGACCAGTTAAAAGTTGTAAGTGTGGAAGCGTGTACATAAATTTAGTTCAAAGTTTAGAAGTTTATTTTAAAGTTTCTTGTTAGTTAGTTTATATAAGTTAAGAATTGGATTAGTTTGATGGATAAAATTTAGTTTAAGTTAAAAGAATAAGGAACACTTATTTCATCCAGTATTAGTTTCATTCAAAAAGTTAATAATTTATTTACAATCACAACAAAACATCTGTCTTAATCAGATGTAAATAAAAACATTTGATATACAGTCTCGTGGCTTAACCACACCCCCCCTCCCTCTGCCACTCCTTTAGAAAAGTTAGATGGACGCCCATGAGATGTATCTTGGATAAACTACTAATGTGAGTATATCATTGCTAACTTAAAAAAATAAAGCTAAAATTTAAAGGTTAATATATTATTATCTAATTTGGATGATTTGTAGATTAGTTTAGTTTAGTTGTAATAGCACCATTCAATGTGTACTTATGAAGGTTATATTATATGAATAAATATATTTTCAATTCAATTCAAGCAATTAATTGGTATATAATATATCTAAAGCTAAATTTAATATGCCTTAAATTAAAATCTTACAGCTTACAGCTTACATAGTGAGTCTAAAAGTATAAATCCTATCAAGATAATGAGACAAACTTACACTAAATTTTGTAAACAGGATTTAACCAAGTTATTTTCAACATCCGCTTCAGAGGCAATTTTTGCAACATGGTTCATACCATCTATATAAGGCAACACCTGCAAATAAGAAATATAGGCATATTTCAATTTCAATCACCAAATGATTCTTTTGTAACAAACAAAGAACCAAACCTTAGCCACTTGCCACTAGTAATACAAGAGTGCTAAATCTAGATTAGAAATTTTAAAAATATTTCCATGGTCATAAAAAATATAGTTTATGTGGAGAAAAAAACAACTGAAATATGAACAAGCCTTTCTCTAAATATTTCTGATAAAATTGTTATATGAACTTCTGTGTCTCTTTTTTCTAAGCCTGGGTCACTTTTTTGACTTTTATTAGAAGGTGATCGGTTCAAATACTGGATTTGTCACCATCTAACTTCAACCTATTGTTAGAAAAAAATCATTAATAGCCCAATGACGAATTACACCTCGGTCCAGAATTGATCTTTCTTAGGAATTGAACCTGAAACTTCCAAATGTGAAAGCTATCATTGCGACCACTTACCCCTACAATTTTATCTAGGCTATGTCCTTTGTGTGTGTATTTCTTCATTTTTACGACTAGGGATTCTACAGATCCTTAATTTACTTTGTTTTGATATTTATAGAAGAATACAATAAAAGGTTAAAATACCTGGTTGACGCCTTGTGGTCCAAGTCGTCCTTGTCCACAAGGCAACAACAAATTATTTATTGTTATTTATTGTATTTTCAAATACTTGGTCTAGAGCACCACAAAATAACTGAAATTTATAGAAAATTTTCAAATTCAGAATACATTCATCACATTACAGATGACTTCATGAATTCATGCTCTGTAATAACCTTGCTTTTAATAAATATGGTCTTAACATTTAACTTTCAGCTAAACAATAATTATAACTGCATATAAGCCAAGCTATGGTCTTGACTCTAGAGGAGGACGTTATAGTATTAACTTGGTTACTTGGTTATAGATTACTGAGAAAAACCATATTATTTTAGCAATGCCCTCTGACCTGTTAGAACAAGTGAGTAATGTAACACTGATACCTACCTACCTACTGATATCTACCTATCAACAGTCGGTTTCTCTGAGGAACTAATTATCACCAGAATAATAGGAAGTAAACAAGTGTGTAACATAATGGCCGGCTGAAATTTTACTTTGAATTTTTATTTTTTATTTTTTATTTTTTTTGTACTGGATGAGAAAGTAATAGGGTTTCAAACGTAATAGTACTATTTCACCAACAATTACAGATAAGCTAAGGAACTTTCCTGACTATTATTGCAAAGTTAGAAGGATCCCATCTCTACTATTAGCTACATGTTGTTGCTACTGACCTGTTGTGTAGTGAGGTCCCATTGTTCAGAGCGGAACATGTCATGAGTCTCCAGGAACACTGGAACTTGGTGGTCCAACACTGGCGAAGGATCAGAACAAACTCTGACTACCTTCAAATGTGTTGTCATTGTGCCTTCTGCAACGGAAGAGCTTGTTGAGCTTGAATATTCATTACCACTTATCGGTCAGTTCCACAATGTTAATGTTCAATGTAACTCATTTACTGGAAGTAATTGTAACAGGATGTCTACCAGTTAATCAAACTAAATTTTGGTGACTTTAAGAGACCTTAAGCAATTCCTGGAAACTTTGGGAAGGTAATGGGGGGGGGGGGGCGGTAATATTTGAAATTGTACAGTCCAATAGAATAAGGGACAGGATATTTTGAGTTTGTTTGTCTCTGGATCACAGAACAAACTATAAAAGGTATAAAATTACCTGAGAACTGCCAGAGTGATCCTGTTACTGTAGTCCTTACGGATAACACGTTTCGAAGACTAAGTCCTCATCATCAGATCTTGTACAAGAACAACACTGTCACTTCAAAAAGGTCGTCAAGAGTTTAAATACAAAACACGGACATATATTATATACATACGTGGACGTTTTACGAATAAAACCGAGTAAGCCTACCGACAAAAACTTACAATGTCCGACCGTCTCCCGCATCGCAGTCATGACCTTCACCTGTAACTGTGCAGTCGGACATTGTAAGTTTTTGTCAGTAGGCTTACTCGGTCTTATTCGTAAAACGTCCACGTTTGTATATAATATGTGTCCGTGTTTTTTATTTAAACTCTTGACGACCTTTTCGAAGTGACTGTGTTTTAATGTTCTTGTAAAAGTTCTGATGATGAGGACTTGGTCTTCAAAACGCGTTATCCGTAAGGACTACAGTAACAGGATCACTCTGGCAGTACTCAGGTAATTTTATACCTTTTATAAGGGGCAGGAATTTTAATTTTAGAGACTACCTTATTCATTTTAATTGTTTTTACAGGATTTAAACTTAAAATTATAACATTGCAAAATATGGTCTAAACAGATAAATAAAACAATAATGTAGGGGGATGAACAATGAATGCTGCGTGACACGAAGTAACATAAAATTATTATAAGCAATCACTTAAAGGCTTGCAGTTATGATATGCCTATCAATGTCAATTAAATGTTTGTGTTTGTGTTTTTATTGTGTGCGTTTGACATCCATGTCTTATGTTTTGTAACCCTGACGATGCCACATTTAAGGCGAAACATGTAGGTTGTTAACCTGACAATGAACATTTGGATTACTTGACGAGGTATTGTACCATAATTATTAGTCACTTAAATGCTTTCTTCTTTCTAACATAGCTTTATTAACTGTTTCTGTAAACCAATTTCTTAAAACACACAATCATTTTGGTATGTTATGAGCTGAGTGGGTACAATGATCATCTGAAAATCAAAATCTTGTAAGTTCAATCACAAGATAAGCCATTACATTATGTTTTAGACATTTTGAAACTGGACGCAGCCTTACTTGATCAATAGCCTTTGAATGATTTTGACAAAAGAAACAACTGGTATCTGTCAATAAAAGCTACATTGGTCATCTCGATCCATACAACACTCATCCATGCAACACTCAATATGCATCAACCAAATGTGCTATCTTAATTAAGTGATGATATACTCACCAGACAATGTACACATTTTATGGTTGTTAAGGTCGTGTAGAACTTGTTTCAACATGCTGACCAGCCGAGTTCGGTAACTTGAATTTTGTTCTTGTTGCGAAAGGAAATTACTCTCCACTTCCATTGCTGTCTAAAAAAATTATTTAAATAAAATACAACTACTCGTGGTAACAAAAAAGTACTGCATGCAAACTTGGTTACTGATTATGGCGATGTAAAATATGTTTGTTGGTTTTTATTTAGCGAATTTCTGAAATAGGGAATAAGCTATTACTGACATGGATCTGAGACCGATCTACTTTTTTTGTTGTGAGATACCCAGAGACCAAAAACACCAACAGTTCAAATTGATATATAGGCTGAGCCTCCGTAAACAGCCTAAACCTTTTAGAGAGATGTTTAATAATAAAAGTAAGCCACCACTATTTGAACAGAAACCTTGTTTGGCTTGTATTTAATCCTCCAAAACCTAATGTCAACTAACAAAATCAGGCATCCCCAAAGTTAGTAAACCATACATCTAGTGTTTCCTCTTCAACTGAGCACATAGGCCTATTGAAAATTTTTCTAACTAAAAACCTACAAAAGAAGAATGCCTAGTGTTATCCAAGGGTATAACCTTTTCACCGACACCTAGATTCAATCACATAAATTTAATTTAGGCTCCAACTCCTTAGAATTTGCTCAAAAAGTACAACAAAAATATTATTTTGAACAAAATTTTATTAGCCTACTGTTATTAGTCAGTAAACTGCCTACATCCTTCCTGAAATTTGCTATAAAGAGCTTGAAGATGATCCAATAAATTCAACGAAAACGTAAAAGAATTTATAGAAAAATGAGATCCAAATGAAAATTTATCTTTGAAAACTATTGAACTATTAACTCCTTACAACATATTTTACACTCTCCCTAAAGTGCAAAAACCATCTAGACCCCCACCAGGAAGACCAATTGTTTCAAGTATTGGATCACCAAATGAAAGGATTTCTGCCTGAACAATTACAACTACTAGTACAAAATTTGCCATCCTACATAAAAGGACACTAACGCAGTAAATGAATATTTTTTAGCGTTCTTTTTTATGTCGTTTTGGATAAGATCATTTTATATTTAAAATGTTTTATGGAGTGGGGGAAACATATTACAAGCAATAATATAGTTGTAATTATGTTTTATACATTTTTCCGGTATTTTTAAAGTCCCTAATGTCACGACCATCCCTTGTCATGAAGACCCATACTTCACCTTTCACACTACTTTGAGACCAATTTATCACGTTTTAAATTACTTTTGGTTAATTCTATGTGTTGGTGTGAATATTCCATACAACATAACATGTTGATTATATTGTGTCTGTGATTTTATGCCGTTGTTTAAAACCTATCAGAATAAAAACATGTAAGAATTGTTTATACCTTATGAACGAAATACTGCTGTAAAATAAACCCGTCACCAAAGTCTATGTCCTTGACCGTCAAGGCTAAATTTTGAACTTCGGCCCACGACAGGCGCGCTCCAGGCGGCGTTTACGACAGTTAGTTATTGTAGTCTAAACTGTACACTCGTCTGTGATTTTGTGCCGTTGTTTTCAGCTGTTGGTAGATTACTTGGACCTCAGTAAAGGTAAGTTTGTATGTATGGTAATTTTGATGTGTCCAAGGTTGTTCCCAGGGCCGGAACAAGGGAGGGCAGAGGGGGTGGTTGCCCCGGGCGGCAGGGTTGAGGGGCGGCAAATTTCTGGTTGCAGAAAATTTGTTTAATACAGTTTGTAAAAGTTTTTAATGAGTCAAACGTCATAAGGAACGTCAATTAAGTAATTTCAAAACTGCATAACGTAATAAACAAACAATAATTTTACAATAGCAATCAATATAAATTGCAACGGAGTAGAAAACACTGAGAGCCGTAATAGCATAGTTAGCAGCACAGCAAAGTTTGCTTGCAATTTCAGCTGATCGCCATCCCACCCAGTCAAGGCGCCATGCCGCCCTGCCTCACTGCCGTGCCGCCGCCTAGTGAGGCCTACTGTATTCACACATATCAGTTCAGTAACAGTTCCGTTACAGTCCAGTTACAGTTCAGTCTCAGTTGCATCCGCAATTTCTCAGTGAACTGTGCGTCAGTTGGTTACAGTCTGTCTTCCGTCTCTAATATTTACAGTAATTTACAGAAAAAAATTTAAATTGTAGACCTATATTCCATTAAATTTTCATCGTCCATCTTGTTGATTGTTACAAACAGTACTCAAAATATCAACACAATCATTTAAATAACTAAACACTATTTTCTAACCTAAAACACGTCCGTCAGGTGTCCGAATAATCCAAAAATATCGGCGAAAAGAAATCTGAAATTGACTGACGGACGCTGGCAGAGCGACGGACGAGTGTAGATAGCGCAATAGAAAATCCATTAAAGAATATTTTTGTTAACTGTGACGTGCCTGAAGTGACTGGACTGCAACGTGTCGTAACTGATGTGTGTGAATCGACCTTTACAGGTACGTAGCAATGTGAACAATTTCATGCAGTGGTAGGAAAAAAGTACTGTAGGCCTAGGGATTTATATTTGTTTTTGTTAGGCCTATTTAAGCCAAAAGCTTCCTTGTAACTTAGTTCTTTTAAGTACCTACCCAAATTAATTGTAGTAACAAGTCCAGCCATACAGTACCGTAATAAAAAATAATTGTTAGGCACTGGCCCAATTTGATGGGTTATGGGAACAGGGATTTATGAGATGATAAACGGTACCTATATCAGCAATCTGACAAATACTTTCTCCCATAAGCTTGTCAACAACCTCTATCATTGGTAAGAGGAGGGAGCAACTATGCTATTTTATAGGGAAAAATCACAAAACTTGCAAAAACCTTTGAACCATAGGCAAGGCCACACTAAAAAAACAGGCCGTAATGCTAGTTAAGCATGACGTTACGATAGAAGACGGCTATGACGTAATGTTTTCCGTTTGTGGTCAGCTGCTTGTTTTAATATTTTCATGGAAAACAAAAATATAACCTTAATCAGACGAGACAACAGGCCAAAAATGTCAATAAGCTAGTAATGTATATGCTTATTTTTATTATTTTTATTTTATTTCATTTTTATTTGAGTAGTTATGCCTTCTACATGTTGTGTTCCTGGGTGTTTTAGTAATTATTCCAACCGAACATCTTTACATGTATCAACATTTAAATTTCCAAAAGACAAGAATCTTAAACAGAAGTGGTTGGACGCAATTCCCCGAACAGACTTCACTCCATCTAAGAGCTCCTCAGTGTGTATATTACATTTCGACGACAAGTTTATTGAGCGAGAAGTTACCTTTACTCGACCCGACGGTTCCATTTGTAATGTCAAACGCGATCGGGTAAAATTGACACAAGATGCCTATCCTAGTCGTTTCCAGAATGTGACTTCTAGTTCAGCCACAGAACTACCAATTCCACGAAATGACCCACAAGCGATTGCAATCCAAAATGAGAAAGAGATAATCACCAAAGAAGCGGAAGATACTATTAATAACTTCAACGAACTCAAAGCTAATTGGAATTATAAATTTAAAATTACTAACGAAAATGTGTTTACGACTTTTAATGAAGAAAGCGTACATATTTTTCAAGTGACATCAACTGAAGATGACACACCCAAAATTGAATCTTGTGTGGTAATAGATAACAAATTGAAAATAAGATCTTTCAAAAATGGGATTATTATTAATGACAACCAATCGCTAAAAAATATAGTGTGGAATGGGAATATCAACAAATGGTCCCAACTACTTAGTGTGGTTACATTTATTTTTGGATTGGCGCCTGATTTTAAAGTAAGCATTGAAAGCAACTTAAATGAGATCAATCGCTTAATTGACGACATTGCAGACAGATTTGAGGACAATAAAATCACGGACAAATTAATGTTTTGCAAACAACAACTAAAATTAGCTGTGAGCAGGAAAATATCCTACGGCTCAACGTTACTCGCGTGGTTTGCATCTATATTTTTCTCATTTCCTGGTGCTTACAAGAAAATTAGGCAATCAAATTTTTTAACGATGCCTCATCCTGTCTACCTAAAAACATTCACTTCTAAGCTTGGCATGGGGACATCTGGGATAGACAGTTCCCATTGGAAGTATCTGAGAAAAAAAAGTTGAATTGTTAAGTGATGATGAACGGCTGTGTAATCTTTTATTAGACGAAGTTTATGTCAAACCGGAGTTGAGTTACCGAGGAGGTAAACTGGAAGGCCTCGCTTTAAATTCCAACCCAGAGGAAAGTAATGTGACTCTTGCTACTACTGTTCAAACATTTATGATCTTCAGTATTGTTAAGAAAAGTAAGGAAATCGTAGGCTTATTTCCCTGCAAAAACTTATCAACTCCCTATTTACATAAGACAGTGTTGGAAATTTTAAAAATGTTAACTGAAATAGGATATAAAGTATTTAGCATTATTTCTGACAATAACAGTGTAAATAGATCAATGTTTCAGTTGTTGTGTGGTGGTAGTTTGAAGACATGTTTTAAGAACCCATATGACGAACAATATTTGTTCTCTTCGATACTGTACACATATTTAAATTAAATGTATAAGAAATAATTCGATTAACCAAACTGACTCTAATCAGACCTTTATCGTTCCTGAATTGGATGATTTATCATCAGACAATAAACTGTTTGCGTGTGTATCCCATCTAAAACTGTTATACAGAGAAGAGGAAAGTAATGTTATTAAACTTGCTCCTGCGTTGAGCAAAAAGGTGTTGTTTCCTACTTCTTTAGAACGTCAGAATGTTAACCTTTGTTGTAGGCTTTTTGACGAAAAAAATATTGCTGCTCTTCAGGAAAAAAGTAGGGAAAAACAAACAGATGAATACAACGGGACAATAATGTTTTTACAGACTATTTTAAAATGGTGGAAAATAGTAAACGTTAAACACGTTTTCAAAGGGAATAGGTTTAGGGACCCAAATCAAGACGCTATTTTCAATATAAATGATGACACCATTTCATACTTAAAAGTTTTTCTCAATTGGGTGAACAAATGGAAAGACATGTCTTTTCAGGGGATTCAATATTTGTCAAAGGCAAACTCTAAGAACTATGGCAAACTAACCGATCAGACAC